TATTTTTTTTTTGTGGTACCAGGGATTGAACTCAGGACCCTGCACTTGCCAGGCAAATATTTATTCTGCTGAGCTATCTCTCTGGCCCCTCCATTTTATTTTTCAATGAGAATGCAAAATAATAAACCAAACAACATTAGAAACAATACAGAATTTCAGTAAACCAAATATTTAGGAATTTGAAAATGATTTTTGTATTGCATAATGTTGTCTTCAAATTAGTTGAAGAGAACGTATATGTAAAACTGCTACATTTCTCTTATGTTTGTTGTCACATGTAGGTTTTTTATTCTAGTTGCTAGACATCATGTCATATGTACATAAAAGTTTAACTTGGAGGTCATTGATCTGTGTAATTCTCTTGTTTCTCTACATATGCAAGATCCTCAGTGAGATCTTCAGTACCTCAATCCTCCTCTCTAACATGCAATTTCCTGATTAAAGGGTTTTAAATGGGTGTTGTATTACTATTTCATCTTTCTATATTTTGTCCCAGCCATCATTTCCCTTTCCATTATCAAATGTGCTATGCAGTCTTATCATAGCCATGTCAGGAATGAAAAATTACCACTGACATATCACATTTCACATGAAGGATCTAAAACATCATTCCTTCTTATTTCTTATTCTTGTAACATTTGTGCAAGGTTTTGTGATATTTTCCCTACTGTGCCAGAGAGGAGACTGAGGTTTCTTTATACTGTTTCAAACCATTTTTCATTTACAGAGTAAGCACTAGGCCAATTCTGCCTCAGTCGAGATCTTGACTGAAGCTAATATTGTCCAGCTTGATTTAACATTGCTTGGCTTTGGTTTTCCTGATGATTTAAGGCTTAGAGAATTTTGAAGGAAAAAAGTCATACTTTTATTTCTATTTGAGGCCCACTAGCTGCAATATAGGAAAAGACCAGATTTGGGGCAAATAAAATTTGGTTAATGAGAATTTAATTTGGGTAATTTGGTTACATTTAATTTGTTTGATGAGAATTTAGGAGAATAGATAACAGAAAAAAAGGTGTTGTGGGAGAGTTTAGCATAGGATAGAGGGAAAGAACAATATTTGCTTCCCTCTAATATATACTTATAAGAATTTGCTAAAGTAAGAAATCTGATCTCCTCCCATTATCTGTATTTTCTGATCAGTCTCCTCAAACATATGAAGGCGAAAAACCAATCAGCTATAGAATTCTTACTTCTTGGGCTCTCAGAGGACCTAGGCCTGCAGCCCATCCTCTTTGGACTGTTCCTGTCCATCTACCTGGTCACGGTGCTTGGGAATCTGCTCATCATCCTGGCTATCAGCTCTGACTCCCACCTCCACACACCCATGTACTTCTTCATCTCAAACCTGTCCTTCACTGACGTCTGTTTCAGCACCAGTACAGTCCCCAAGATGCTAGTGAACATCCAGCAACAGAGCAGAACCATCAGTTACACGGCCTGCCTCACACAGGTCTACTTTGTGCTGGTTTTCGCGGGGCTGGAAAACTTTCTGCTTTCAGCCATGGCCTATGACCGCTACATAGCCATCTGTAATCCTCTGAGGTACACATTCATCATGAACCCTTGCCTGTGTGTTCTGGCGACGCTGTTCTCGTTGTTCATCAGCTCTGTAGATGCTCTGCTGCACTGCCTGATGCTACTTCGTCTATCTTTTTGTGAAGACCTGGAAATCCCTCACTTCTTCTGTGAACTGGATCAGGTCATCAAGCTGTCGTGTTCTAATACCCTCCTCAACAACATCTTGGTATACACAGTGACTAGCGTATTGGGTGGTGTTCCTCTCCTTGGGATTATTTTCTCTTACATTAAAATTGCCTCTTCTGTCCTGAGAATGCCATCAACTGAGGGAAAGTACAAAGCTTTTTCTACCTGTGGGTCTCATCTTTCTGTTGTTTCTTTGTTCTATGGGACAGCTTTTGGGGTATACATCAGCACTGCCGTAACTGACTCATCCAGGAAGACCGCAGTTGCCTCCGTGATGTATACAGTGGTTCCCTCAATGATGAACCCCTTTATTTACAGTCTGAGGAACAGAGATATGAAAGAAGCCTTGAAGAAACTCATCAGGACACCTTGATTTTGGTAATTGTGTCATCTGCTTCAGACTTAGTCTTCTAGAAAGAATTAGAACAGGGACCTAGAATGATCTAAGTTGTTTCAGCTTAGGTTAAAAACTTTTCTTGGTGTTCTATAGCACAGAGATTTACAAAAATTTGTTACATGCTTGAATTTGATTTCCTGGTTAGTTTGCATAGAAGTAGAACCTAAACAAAGGATTTTTCTGGTAGTAGCTGGGGAGGGGATTGCTTTTCAGTAGAATTTTATTTATATCAGGATAATGAGAAAAAGCCAGAAACTAAGTAGGTATTTCATCACTGTTAAAGGAGCAGACTTAATCCATGGATAGATCCATTGATAGTGATCCATGGATAGTGATGTATACTCCTATTTTTTTTTTCATGATTATCTGAGGTCCTGCTTTATTGACACTTTGATGTCCTAAGCATTGTTGCCTAAGCTATGACAATGGATTTCCTGACAGGTTCCCTTCAGATGAAGTAATATGCCAGAGCACAAACAGAACACTTGTTCATTGTCATCAGCAAATGCTGGCAGTAGCTAAGGAAGGGTTCAGTAGCCAGTTAAAGTGTGGTTTGCGCAGTACTAATGTTACCAGCTACATTTGGCGTCCAACTCATGAAATGGTTCTAAATTCCCTATTCTAGAACGTAACATGATGAAGAAAGGTGTGAAATCCTGCTGTGAGTATGGCTGGAACTCAAATATGATGAGAGTGATTCTACTTAGAGATGACAAACCCTTGCAATAAATCAGAGCTGAACAGGGATGCACTCAGTCAGAGTATACTGTGTTCATTCATTTCTGAGCAAGCTTTATCCTTGTGCCATGGCTCCTCCTGGTGAATTTTAGATAAAGCCTGGATCAAGGGCAGTCATCTTATTCATAAATTTTTACATCAAGAGATAGAAAGGTAATTTGGTTTTCCTTGGGGTTCGTTTTGATAAATCACCCTTTGACATATCATGGACCCAAATTGGGACCTCTGCGTATCTGCAATCCAATCATCATTGAGATGAATGAAATGATCATGAGAAGATTAGATTAACCAGCCTGGTGGTTCACAACCTCGACCATATATTTGAATCAATAAGAGAGCTTCTTGGAGGTTTCTTTAGTCTAGTTCCTTTGTTCTAGCTCTGAGAAATTGGGCTTCAGCATGGGGAGTGAAATGTGTGTTTTAGTGTGCTCTTGTGGGACACTAACATGTGTAGTCTGTGGATGGTCTTTTCTTTTCAATGGTTTTGACATAGTGTATAATTTGGGCATGTCTCAGCATAATTCCTGGAAAATAGAAAATATTCAATAAAGTTTTCTATCATCCTATTCCACATGGTGCCCCGTTTTCTTATTATATTGCAAAGGAAGTCGGAAAAAAGAAATATGTTAACATCGAGAAACCCGGAGTTACTAGATGCCTGCATCAGATTTCTCTTATATATTATTCATGTGTGAAAATTTATGTGAAATAACTTTAAAGATCTGTATGACTTGCTTTTCGAGAAAAACATCAGAAGTTTAAGCTACTATGTTTTGAACATGTGTGTGTGTGTGTGTGTGCGCGCGCATGTGTGTGTGTGTGTGTGTGTGTGTGTGTGTGTATTTTGGGAGAGAGAGTGATTACATCACTCCCAACAAACTGCAGTTATGAACAAATATATTTCACAGCAAATCAGGTTTTAAACATCGCCATTGTTCTATTTTTGCAAACCATAATAATTATATTCATCTTGGGGAATTGGTACATATCTAAATCAAATTTCTCATTATCCTTTTAGGTTTTTAGTACATGTGTGAAGTAAATAATGTTTCTGTGCCTTATGGGACATTGAATCATGCACATAGCATGTTTTATAGGCTTTTAATATTCTTTTTCTTTCCCTCTCCCACCTTGTGCCCTCTCTTTTTTTGGGGGGGTGGTTACATTGGCATATTGAACCCTTTTTTTTCTGTATTTTAGGGAAGGGTCTACAAGGTGTTCAGGGTCTCACTACTAGATCAGAGTTGTAGTGATTCTCCTGTTTACAGCCTCCAGAGAGCTGGGATTACAGGCACACGCCACCACGCCCAGTCTCAATTGCTGTCTCAGCGCATGCCAGGGGCGGGGCTGGCACAGCAGGTCACGGGGGATCAAACCCCCGACCCCTAAGCCTGCTTGCAGGCGCTTTTGTCCACTGAGCTGTTTGTTTCCATCTCCCTTCCAGGCCCTCCCCTCTCCTCCTCTTCTCAGATCCCCTTCCTGTTATAAAGTCTACCTCTAGTACTGCCCTTTAATAAATACTTATATATTACAGAAGATATGGATACTTGTTTCCTGGACATAAGTGTTTACTAGATAAAGCTTTTAATTATGTTCATAAGCTTTTCTTGTATTTATAAATTTTATAAGTCTTGTTTTATATTTGTAACAGGTCCTGGGATGTGATTCACTGATAAATTTTTTGCCTGACATGTGCCAGATATAATAATAATAATAATAATAATAATAATAATAATATAAATGATGATGATGATCTGTAGTGAATCCTCCCACTAGAATAGTGAGTGGAAATTCTCAGGATCATTGCATTTCCTAGGTTTTCTCCTTGCCCTCTCTGTAACTGTACTACTAACCTGTTTTGGAACTGTCTCATTGCTACTTCTTTCTCAATAAAATTATTTAAAAAAATAGAACTGTGAGTGATTCCACTTTTTAAGCCTGCAATGTTTTACGACACTCTGCGCTTTTCCTTTACAGTATGTACATAATCTTATTGCTGTATGTGGTTGTACAAGATAGAAATACCTGCATATTCTGCTGGATATTGGGAAAGATAAAACACATGATCGGCACCCATCAACCACTCTTCCCTCTTCACTTTCAGTCACTGATTCCCTGGTTTTTGCAGCTACAATGTATGTATAATGGGTATGCAAGACTCTTTAACGCTTTTGTAAGTTAGTTCCTGGAACATTAGAAAATTTAAGGGCTGGCTAGAGAGCTCATCAGACTAAGCACTTCTTTGGCAAGCGCAGTGACTGGGGTGTGTTCGCTGGTCTTGTGTGCCACGCCGGCCCTGCCCCTGAAGCATGCTGAGCCTGTGACAGAGTCTGGGCATGGTGGCACAGCCCTGTAATCCCAGCAAGGAGAGGCTGAAAACAGGAGGGTCACCCCGAATCCAATCTCAGTAAGGAAACCCTGCACCAAATGCACAAATAAAAAAAAAAAAAAAGAGAATTTAAAATACAAGGCTGTGTGATTCCCAGTGCATTTGCAGAGTTGTACGCATTTTTAGGTGGTCTATTTTATTCAATTACTTATGCCCACATATTCTGCTCAACATTATGTTTATGGTATTCCTATAGTTTATCTCACCAGCAAGGGGCTTTGCTCATTATTTTACGCATCCTTATGGTGGCACTTCGCACAATTTACTCATTTAATTATTTAGAGAGTGAGTGAGTTGTCCATAGTTATCATTTTATGTATCATGTATTATTCTTACTATTATTGGTTTTTGGAGCCAGGATCTCACTATGTAGTCCAGGGTGGCCTCTAATTCACTATGCAATCAAGCTGGCCTCAATCTGGTTATATTCCTGCTTCAGCATTCCATGAGATGGAATTATAGATGACAACACCAGCATACAGAGGATATTTTCTTTGCTTTTCTATTTTATTTTACTTTTTATTTTTTGCAATACTGGGGATTGAGCTCAGGACCGTGCACTTGCTAGGCAAGCACTTATTCTACTGAGCTATCTCCCAGGCCCATGGAGGATATTTTCTTAATAGGATATTATTTTCTCAATAATCACTAACATTCTTAAGTAGGCTATTGAGTGCACAGCCATACACAACTAGGAGGCAAATATGCATTTATTAGGAAATCTATATGAACATATTTACTCAAAACCTTCATACAATTTTATTTACTCATTCTATTATTTTTTAAAGAGAATAAAAATACAGTCGTCTCAGCTATTATATATGTGTACTTAAATGATTTTCCCCTCCCTTTTTGGTCTTTTCTTCTTTCCCTCATCTCTACTGTCTATTCCTTGTGTTCAGCTTCTTTTACTATAACTATTGTACTTTTCAGATTTTATTCATTCTTGCAGGTTCTTACACTAGGATGACAATATGATGTTTGCACATGTGGATCTGACTTATTTCACATCTATCAATTTTTTGGAAAGTAGAGTTAAGGTTTAAAATTGTTTCCTTTGATTAACTCTATGTGCTAATATCTGTAATCTGATCAGCTCCAGGGAGGTCAGCAATGCGCAGCATAGCAAGTATGGTATTCACCTTTTATCTTGTTCTTTTAAATGTGTACAATCTCTAATGTCCTATATATTCTTATCCTACTCCCTTTAAAACAAATTTTAAAAAGTAAAACAAACAAGTGAAAAATTAAGGTTTATTGAAAAGAAGAGCCCTCACCGGCAGGACCTACTGGTCCCAGCCCAGGCGCAGTGTGGGTGAGACCCTCTTCCACCGCCTTGGGACACTCCCCACCGCTCCGCAGCACCTCCCCCACCCTGCCTAACGAGTAGGAATTTCTGCCGCGTTCCAGGAACCCCCAGACCCAGTACTAGCCCAGGCCCAGTAAGTGTGTGGGAAAGCTTCCAGCTACCCTGCACCGGCGGGACCTACTCGTCCCAGGCCAGGTGCAGTGTGGGTGAGACCCTCTTCTACCTCCTTGGAATCCTCCAACGCCCACCACTCCACAGCACTTCCCCTACCCTGCCTGCCCAGTAGGAATTTCTGCCACATTCCGGGAACCCCCAGATCCAGTCCTAACCCAGGCCCAATAAGTGTGTGGGAGAGCTTCCTGCTACCCAGTGCTGGCATGACCTACTGGTCCCAGCCCAGGCGCAGCAAGGGTAACAGCCTCTTTCACCCTCTCAGGACGGCCCCCATCACACCGTAGTACCCCCAAAACCCCACCCATAGAGTAGGAATTTCTGTCGCCTTCTGGGAACCCCCAGATCCAGTCCTAGACCACCTGCGGTGAGTGTGTGGGAGAGCTGCCTCTCCCCCCTACTCCACCTTGTCCCCTCCAGACTCAGCTCAGGCCTGGCATACAGGCCTGGGGTGAAACCCTGCAGCTGTAATCCCTGCAGAGAGTGTAGGGGACAGAACCAACCAGCTAGTCCAGGAGCAGAACATCTTGCCAGAGGGCACAACAGGTTCACCACCAAGGGCAGCAACAGGAAGGAAGTGAGTACAGCAGCCAGACCCAAGACAGGCACAGATGGATAAATCCAAACTTTGTAGATCTACACCTGAACTTCAGTAGGTGCTAAGGCTATAACTGCAACAAAGATCTACAACAAAGGTCAGAAGACAGTGCTACACAAAATGACAACTAGAAGGAGCAACGAACATACTCAGCCACCTTATCTTTGACAAAGGGGCCAAACATACTCACTGGAGGAAAGATAGCCTCTTTAACAAATGGTGCTGGAAAAACTGGCTCTCTACATGCCGAAAACTCAAACTTGACCCAGGTCTATCACCATGCACTAAACTAAAGTCAAAATGGATTAAAGATCTAAACATTAAAGCCGAGACACTAAATCTCCTGGAAGACAAAGTAGGAGGAACTCTTGAAGACATATGGGTAGGCAAAGACTACATGAACAGAAATCAAATCACATGGGCAACAGTTAAAAGAAATAACAACTGGGACCTGCTCTTACTGAGAAGTTTTTTCACATCAAAAGAAATTACTAACAAAGTGAAAAGGCAACCCACACATTTGGAAAAAATCAGGACAAATAAATACTCAGACAAAGGTCTGCTCTCCAGAATTTATAAAGAACTAAAAAACACTAGCGCCCCCAAATTGAAAGACCCAATCCAGAAATGGGCATCTGAAATGAACACACATTTCTCAGAGGAAGAAATTAAAGAAGTGAATACATATATGAAAAAAGGCTCCACATCACTAGCCATCTGTAAAATGCAAATTAAAACAGCATTGAGATATCACCTCACCCCAGAAAGAATGGCTATCATAAAGAAATCACCAAACAACAAATATTGGAGAGGCTGTGGGGAAAAAGGAACCCTTCTCCACTGCTG